ATCGTATGCTATATTTTCAGTACATATCATGCAACTAAGCATCGAATTTGATGCATTGATGCGAATTTTGCGAAAAAGATGTAGAATAGAAAAGTAGTGTCACTTCATTAACCGTGCGCAGAGAAACTAGCGGCTTTAATTCATACAAAGGAATTAAAAATGATCGAATGACTGACTCAGATCTCTGACTCAAGTTTCATTGCGGCAGCGACGAGACACATCGTGCTCATCGCGTGCAGTGAAAACAGTGATATCACGATTCCATTTAGTTTGTGAAATTAATACGTTTAACTTACGGTTATTCTGGTCCACGATGTTGTGAGTGTCTGAAATCAACTGTACGGGCAGCCGTGCAGCGGCTAACTGCAAGGATGGAGCCTCCGAATCACGGGCTCCTATAACCTCAACACGTTCACTTCAGGTATCTTACTCACTCAAATATGAAAACTTCGCAAATGTCATGTCAAATGAAGTGTTTTCACAAGGACCAGGCCATAATTATGACTCGAAGAAGGTCTACTATGTAAGATTTACATAAACAGTCTATCGATTATTGACGCAGTGAAATAAGGTTCATATCAAGAATTGTTATAAAGAGTGTGTATCTTTCTAACTCTCAATAGCGGACCCCTTACGACAACCATAAAGTTATAAAATAAAAACTATGAACTGAAGTTGAGACTCACTTGTACAAGGCAAAAGAATTATTATATCTTAACGTTGTTCCCATAATCCACATCAGTAATAGAGATGTACGCATCACAAGAATATCAAATTGGCATCTAACATTTCATTTGTAAAAGCTGTATTCCAGGACATGGTTTCTTCATTTATGAGTTTCCGAGACAAGTGTATATTTCCCTGAAGATGTGAGTCTTCTAACAATTCTTACTACTGGTGCATTATGAATGGCTCAACATAAGGGATATTTTTTTACAACAGATGAAATGTCTGCTTTAATGTCACCAAACAGGGCACTTGGCTGGACAATGCCGCTTTACATAAAACTCTAATCAACAAAGACTATACCAACAACTTAGGCAGTGCTCCCATGGAATCTGAACATTCAGGGGAAATCTGTGACATACCAGACCCTGCCATCAATGAGAAAACTGGAGCTGTAGATATTCAAGTCACATGATCTTACTAAGAAATACCAAATGGTCCCTCACCACCTTCTAAATCTGTATTTCTACTAATGAAGCTAAAAATCAATAAACGAAATCCCAACTAAAGAAACTAGCTTCCTTAATAATAATAAAAGATGCTGCCAGACTGACTCTCCCTTACCTTCCATGTAAGCAATACATGAAACAAGAATATGGAAGAAGTCTCAAACATCAAAAAGAAAAAAAAGACAGAAAGAGAAGAATATGGGAAGAGTTGATTAACCCTATCAAACAGCATTTGAGACACTCAAAATAATTTCCCCCTTACTTATATTTCAGTTTAATCATTTTAGAGAATCTTTTTCAGTGCTAAGATCGCTATCTATAGTGCTGATTACGTCACAGACATTCATCCATCACCAAAATGATGCATAATTTTGTATCCTATCTCCACAACAAAACAATAAAGGCAGGTTCACTCAGAATATCAAGAAATTAACTCAGTATTAATACTGCAGATGAAATCAAGTACTGAAAACAGATTCCAGTATAGAAATCAACATCAGTTAATGGTAGATCACCCATAGAATTTAAAACCATACTGACACATCTTAAAGTAGAGTATATTATAAATAAGAAGTATGATAGTCCTGCAATGGATTTAAATGGCTTTTATGCAGGCTAGAAAACTTACATATTTTTATGCATAACTACATAGCCTGATATATCTGTATTCAGAATAAACTTTAAGGAAAATCACATGGGAAAATAACTGGATATACTTGTACTTTTAAAAATAGAAGTAATCCTGAATATGCTGGGTGGTGTGGCTAATATATTCAAAAAAATCGATTCCATCGAAATTCTAGAAAATCAAAATGACATGAATTAGTGGCCAGATTAAAATTATTTAACTAACCCCATATGTATCGGAAATTGTCCATATATCCCTAATAGGTACCCACTACAAGAAATCGAAATGCATGATTATTATAAACGCAGATAAAAGAGCTTCTAATTCTTGGAACACTTTAATTTGCCATCACTCTTATGGGGATTGTACTAAATTGTAAAAGAGGCCGATTATTGAAAAAGTATTGACGATGTGCAGCATCATCTCAACTCTGGTGATGCAAACATATTAATATCATAACACAGGCTAAGTGCGATTGATTCTTTCAATAGCTTCTACACAATAGCAAGAAATGTACCTGGAACGTTATGGAACTTCCCTTACGATAGTGATCATTTTCAATACTGATTGATATCCACGAACCAAGTTGTGTCCACAAGTCCATGAATGGCGCAACTATCCCCATTATAAGCACATTAATTGGCTGGATTATCAGAAAAAATTGATGAGCCGCTCAAATGAAGATATATTTTTCAAGGACGAATATAAATTGACCAGATAGTAGAATCATTCTGTAATATAATCCAATTCTGCTACTCAAATGACACAAATGCACCATGGGTTTGAAGTTTTAAAACGTTCCCTGGTGGAACTCTGATGCAATCGCTATTAAGAAAGCTAAAAAAGCATTTTAAACCGGTATAATAAAAGAAGAGTAATGATAGCCGAATCACTATAAGAGAACTAGAGCTATTGCCCGAGAATGTAAAAATAAACAAAGCTAGATCATGGACTGAATATTCTCTCAATAAACTGCAATCGAATCACAGAGAGCTGGAAAAAATAAATCCATACGGTGTAATGAAGACTCATATGTAACAATCATTTCTTGCGTTGCAATGACCAGATAATTTAGCGACCCAAAATTATTTGCTGCGGAATTTGCGAAACGTCTTGTGAATTTCAGAGAAATCTTTCAACTTTACGTACCTCAATGCCGTTCCTGAACACGGGAAAACACAATCAGGGGCATCCCGGAAGGAATTGCAATATTTGAAAGATAGTTTTAAATATTTAAGAAGCAGTCCTACATGTATTTAGCAATAGAACACGGTCATTTTCTACAAGTTTGTGTTAAAATATTTTCGGATTTTGAGAAATGATAAGTTCATATATTTTTAAATCATTTTCTTTATTTTCGATTTTTGGAGATGCACAAGCCTACGTTTGTTTTTTGATGAACTAATACACCATTTACTGTGTTGATCTGAGTACACAACTGTTCTCTACATCAACAGATACTAAAATAAAATTGGCAATAGAGGAAAGTGTGGCTGCAAGTATGGTAAAAACCCGGTTTTCATCATTTAACCCTTTCAGCTTTATCAAGCTGCGAAGGCGTGAAATTAATTTTGAATGCATTATGCTCTGTTGATGAGTAGAAGAACATAAGGGTTCTGCATATAACAAAACCTTACAGTTACATTGATTACACATATGAATTTTTAAAGTGTATCGGTTTCTACAAATTGATTTGAAGACGGCTTTGAAACATATTATTAGTGTTAAAGTACAAAAAGACATCAATTCATTGTACTTTCAAATGTTAATATTAATGTAACATAATACTTGCAGACAAGAAGTCTGTTATGACATTAATTTTAAAATGCGACTTAAAGGAAACAAAAATTAATTTGATTTATAATTGTTAAAAGAAGGAGAACTTTTATACAACTTTCACACGGCGTTTCGCCCAGTTCGCTTGCTTCCTAACAAATGGTTAAATATTACATCGTAAGGTTCTATCCTTTTGGTGTCCGTTTATAATGTTTGTTCAAAGAGCTTTGTTACCCTGTGACGGAGGAAGAGCTTTTGGCCATTGTTCCGACTAGGGAGCAGATTATGTCGGGGCATCAGCAGTCCAGACATCTGTTGGCCCTTCTCGCAATGGACTGGCAATGTGATGGTGTTGTCAGTCCCCAGCGACGGCGGGCCAGCTTTCGCACACCTATGCGACCAGGTCATCTTCTCTTGGCAGCACTTACCACCTCATTGACATCAGGAGCGCACTCAGATCCAGTGAAGGGTTAATGAACATGATGATGAATGTTTGATATTGTTGTAAAAAGGCATTAATGCAGACAAGTGTTCTTCATGAAATAGTTATTGCTTTAGTTGTAATATATTAAGCATGATTTTATTACGTAATTGTGAGTGGGATAGAGTAGGTAGGGGATGAGTCGGGGTGAGTGAAACTAAAACTTATTATGAATGTTTACGTGTTAGGCTGAACCTGTGAAAGATAGATGCATTTTATAGGGAATTGTTTTATTACAGTGGAGGAAGCGTACCTTTGGCTGATGCAGAAATGATTATTTAAATTGATCAAATTTCGGCAAAAGAAGTATTATTGAAGTAAAAAAATAGTGAGAAATGGAAGGAATTTAATGTACGCCAACACTGTCTTTCAAGTTTGTTGAAAATAGATCAAAAAAACTTTCAGATAACAGAAAAACTTTGAACAAGCCGGGATCTGCTGTGTGATCTCGGAGTTTTGGAGATATTATAATGGTCTAAGTGGTTAATCACATCTTTCCGTAAGCACTGTTTATCAAACATCCCAAAACACGAACTCGAATTAAATTAAAAGCACTTTATTTATATTTTCATTGCCTCAGTGTGGGGTTAATTTGAAACTTTTCTTTATAAATACGCTAGATGAAAAGAATGAAAAAGATTAAGTTTAATTATGTGGTAACTGATTGAAACTACGGAAATGGTACATAAAATTACACAAAAATAATTACAGTACATGTACTTTGTTTTATTTCAGTTATATTTTTTAACTATTTTTAGTTATAAAATGAAGGCCGTTTGAAGGCCGAAACCTCGATTTAAAAAAATATAAATATTTTTAGTGAAAAAGTGAGTGAGGAAGATAGGGCATTTCCAGGCAGGATTGGGCAAGACGGAGCGGGAATACAATACAATATATACGAGAAAGTTCCGTGGCAGGCCTGGATTAGATGGAATATCTCTTTGTGTCTAATAAATTATAGTGATAAATACCCCGGCAACGCGGGGTACTTATGCTAGTATTATATAACTTGTATGTATAGGTGTTTCTCCCGATGGCCATCTATTTCCATACAACTGAATATGGAAGTGTCGATCGAGTCATACTTTTTACCCTCAGGAATATCATATAAGTGTTTGAGCGCTACGCTGTGAATGAAAGTGCTTCTCGCCCTCTTAGCGTTTATCTTCGCTGACGACGGGCGCGCGCAGCCTGAAACAAAAGGGTCCATGCTGCGTTTCTGCTCCTTTCCCCTCGAAGTTTTTATTTACGTATGCCATTTTACGTGTACAACAATTTTCATTTCTTTTGAGCAGCTGGAGGGGGGTTTATTCGAACTTGAGACATTTTTAATATAGGTAGTTTAGAGCATTTTAAAATTTTTTAGCTGTTTCCGGCGGATTTAGGGCTTTTGATGCATTTTCAGGTGTTTCTATGGAAAATATAATCTGAGTTGACCACTTATAAGGAGTAGATTCGAAATTTTCTTCACGTTTTGCCCTTGTTTATCTGAATTCTTCGTTTCCTTGTTTCTTTTATCTTTCGGGCGCCCGCGCAATTTAGTGTCTCATGCGCGATCGCGTGGGGGTATTTTTTGCCGCCGACGAACATCTTTTCCATTTCTCATTATTACAACTACTCGTATTCATTAGTCATGAGGAATTTATTAATTAACATCATCTGAGCATTGTAGTAGATACAAAGTGTTGTTATTAGAAGAACAATTTTAATTATTCTCCAGAAAAGAAATTTCTTCTACTACGACCTCACAAAACTCTGATGACAAATACGTCCAAATAATAATGGCATCTTATTAAGTAGGAAGGTAAAAATCTAATAAATTGAAAATGTATAGGTAGCTAAATATGTTATAATAAAACAAGATTTGTAAGTATTAGGAATCTAGATTACTAAAATCACTTAATCACTATCTTTAAATCGCTCGTAATAAATACCTAATTAATTTAATTTAGACAATAATTAGCGTAAGAGGTTTATTATGGCATTTTCATTCCAGAAGTATGTGGAAAATATTCTTACATAATAATCATTATCGTGAAAAAGACTGGAAGAAGCGCGATCGCGTGGCGGTGTATGGCGCGTAGAACGAAAACTGATGACTTCGGTCACTTTTACGCGAATTTGGCACAAATGTGGCTGCGTCTTGGAGAAGACGTTACCTCTGTCTTGTGTCTCGATAGATACTGGAGAATACCTGACTTCCTGCCATGACGAGTTCAAACATCGACGCGCAGCGCCGTTTAATTTTCAAAGACGGCATGTATACCGCCCGCGCGATCGCTCGAAGGTTATTATACTAGTTCACAAATACATGTTTAGCAAAATATGCATGTTGATGCACGTCCACTCCATGGATTCATACCATACATACATTTTTACCATGGATACATCCGGTCCTTCCGGTATTTATAAACAGCAGTCGTTGCATGTCGTTGTAATTCAATTAATGGAAGGTTGATGGCTCCAATAAGCAATAGAGAGAAAGGGGTCAATGCTAGAAATCAAATGATCTCTCGATTGATTTATAACCAATCGATAGTTATATTGTTTGCGTTTACTAAACACCAATTTGTCAGTTTCCACGTTGTTGCTTACATTTCGCTTGTTACGTATTTCAAGAAAGTTTCCCCTAAGTATATTACGTACTTTAACACAATTTTCGTACTCAAATGTAAACATTTCATATCGGCATTAAGTGTTCTTAAAATGCACATATTGGAAATTTGCTTAACTAAGTATTTAATAATGTTTCTTTTTGTTACTCTTGGAGTTATGAAATAAGAGAAATGCAAGAAAAAATAAAAGGCACGTAACTCAATTTAAGAAAAAATAAGATTCAATTAACATACGAAAAGTCGTAAGATTATTTGCACGATTAGAAGGCGTGAAATTGTTCAATTCGAGATCTTGCATTGGCGAAAATAATTCACTCCTTCGTATCTAAGAAGATAGGCAGAATTTTAAGAATCGGTCGATTGTATTAAAAAAAATGAAATTGAAATGGTGGGCGGGATTCACTCGTTCGCCAATACCCAGTTGAAAGAGTCGGCCTTAGATCTGCAAATATTTTTATTCAGAGGAGGAAATCGAGAAAAAAGCCTTTCTCGTTTTTTCATATTTTCGACGTCAGCATGGCGCTCCTTACTTTCCCGTCTGTCAACTTCATAAATTAGAAAACACCACTTCACTGCCTGAAAGAGGGCGATAGTACCCATGATTTTGATAAACCTAACCAAAATCTCCTTGTGTGCTTTCACTTCAGAAACATTTTCAATATTCCTCAAAAATTGTTGACTGCTACGCTCTATTTAAGTTTCACATATATCGAAATAAAAAGGAGAGTCCTCTGCCGTAACAAATATTTGACAGTATAATACGATCGTCTTCTAATTAAAGCTAATTTTTGCTTATATATATTTATTTTTTATGTCCAGTTTCGGTGCTGCTGTGGCGCGTGAGTGGGGTTCACCATGACGATGAGATGACGACGGCTGAGGCCGCACGGGGCTACCCTCATGGCCGTACACTCGGCCGCAACCACGTGCTCTCCCATGGTGAACACTGCGCCCGAATTCCAACCTCTTCACGATTCGCTATGCTCCTGTTGCCGCTGTTGCTACTGGCGCCTCCACTACCCCCGACAGACGCCGGCGCCGCCGACCCTGGAGGCGGGGACACATGCCCGCCCGCCGACGACCCCGCGGCCGCCGCCTGCCCCTGCTACAAGTTCGAGGACGGGCTGTTCCTCGAGTGCCCGGGCGCGTCGGCCGCCGCGATTCGGCAGGCGCTGGAGCGGGTGGCGGCGCCCGTGCACTCGCTCTCCGTCTACGACCTCGACCACTCGCTCACCGAGCTCACCGCCGACGTCTTTCC